TGTATCTATGACGGTGACGATTGTGTTCATTTAGTTTGTTGCTATTTGTTTTGTTTGTTGTTTTTTTGGTTTTTTTGAAGACTAGCTAATTAATAGATCATGTTTCCTGTTTTATTTTTATTTACTCTGGTCAGGTATAATACCCAATATAATAGTCAACTGGTAAGGATTAGTCATGTGAAAACTATTATACTGATGTGTGCTCTTTCAAACATTTATTTAATCTGTTGACTAATGAATGGACATATGTTCATTTATCGCTGTAGAATTTTAATAGGAGTACAGAGAGAAACGTGATAGGTTGATTTCCAACTCTATTATAAAATGATTCATCTATCAAAAGAACCCGAGTGAATTATTATGGTTTACTAATATAATAATAACAATAATAATAATAATATCAATTTATTCAAACTGCACACACTAACTTAAAAATTATGCTAACATGTAACCGGAAAATTATTGATTTGTTAGAAGATGTCATTCATATCTCTCTAGTTATTTTACCTTTTTGTCAAATGTTTATTACTAAATTAATGTTAAACCACGGTAAATAAATAAATTTGGCCTATCGCACCACTGGAAAACACTAGACTGGATTCAGATGTTGAAAAACAACTTGTTCCCACAGAGAATTACGAATACCAGGTTGGATTTTGCAACAAGGACGCAAGTGTGTCTTATTAAGGAATCTCAAACTATGGTGAAATAACCGTGGATTACTTCAACAGGTAACAGAGTTCATGATAAGTACTGTATCGAGTTCCATTAACACTCAGTGAACTACTCAATTGACCTAATACTATTGATCACTTTTCTGACAAAATGATTTCTGAAAATAGTAAAAGTAAGGAAATCAGAGAGATTTGTGTTGGCTGTATTGACTATGTCGTTATCATCCAATATACATTTTGTATAGCTAAGCCGGTCTTGCTACAGACTTTGTCATTGCAGTTATTCTGAAGTTTGGCTTGTGGGGATCCGACTAATTTCACGTCACTTACTTTCAAAATTTACAGAACTGTTGAAAACTGGGAAGCAATGGATAACTGTTTCGTCCAGCTTGAGGCTTATTAGTAGTGTAAATACACTTCACTAGCGGTTAAATCCAGGTTATGAGAAATTCGCTATCCATCCATTGGTATAACATTTAATAGTCCATAAATTCTCACTTTTACTATTTCTCGAAGCAGTGTCGCTAGTGTTGGTTTGCAGCGAAAGCTATCCTGAAATGCATTTTAATGTCTGAAAAGTTATTATTCCTGTCAAATTTTCCTGCTCAAACGTCTAAGCTTACACTAGACCATAATCTATTTCTTACAAACACGGTAATGACGCATTTTAGCAGGAAAATCTGTACTGGCTAGAGGTGAAATACTTCTAGATAACCAATCTCAAAAAAGTATTTTCATTCAGCCTTTTTACTTTATATGGGATCATTAGTTTTGGTAGATTAACAGACGCAACACTACAAACAAGGAGTATTCAGAGAACTAAATCCGTTGCTTTAACGCATAAATAGAAATTGTTGTTTAAAAAATGGAATGGAATGTTAATTTGGATTTGAATTACAACCTGAATTAGGAAAAATTCAAACTGGCTACTGCTAGACTATTGGTTAGATATTTTAGTCGATGAGATACAAGATTCAGCTGTCGAACCAATCCCGACTACTCTGCAATTAAAAAAGGTTCCCGTGAGCAATAACATGAATATGTGGTATACGGCTGTCCGTCCAACATTTATTACATTAATCTCTCAGCAGGTTCCTCTCGTTCTAATCCTAGTCATAGCAGACTGAAGAGAGAGAGAAATCAAGTGATTATCTTTCCAGTCAAGTGATTAGTGTTGACATCTTTATAGAATTCATCCTGCTTTTGATTCCAGTCCTGCTGAAAACCAGGCTTCCATTTCAGTTTCGGATATTATCTAGTTTCATAAGTACCAATTACTAAACACCAAAATCAAAACTCGAAACTCCGTATTATTTTAGTCATGACCTCCATCATAAGAATTTATGATCAGAAGTTACCTTAGGAATTAAATTATAACGTTTAAGTTACATATTTTATTATTTAAGTTTTTACCGTTGAAAACAGATTTTCATGTCAAATTTTAATCACCATTATTTTCTCTCTTGTCACGTATAATTTGTGATTTTGAGCAGTAATATCACTAGCATACAGATTACGTAATCAGATGACATAATCTGTCTGGTGTAGATTTTATTTTTGTGTTTTTTGCTCTCTGTTTAGCACTATGTAAATATAATTATACTTGAACACGAATACAGGCTAATAAATCTACAAACACAGATGTTAAATTATATTTCCGAACTGTATCAACAACTCGGCTTAGTTACAAAATGACCTGACTAAAATTGATTTTTATTCTGTTCTCGTTTTATTTGTTTATTTACTGAGTGAAAGAATATCTTTTTGATTGTTCAGACGAAAATTATTTAACTGGAAATGGTTAGAATTTTTAACTGTCAATATTTTAGGCACACATTAATCATTTCCAACAAACACAAATTACCCTACCTTTGTAAGTAGGTGACTCGAACAAAACTCACAACGCTGTTGACTAACTTGATAAGATAGAAAACCCATGTTACAATGTGATTCTAAGATTACTGGTAGGAATTCTTTGCCCGCGTAACGTTTTCCTTTCACCTCATCAACTAAATCAAACTATACTAAGAATTCGAACCAAAAAGTTCGATTATTTCATTCCTTGAATATCAATGTAACATTAAATCTTTAAAATGTATAAAAGAGTAAATACCATTTATTTGTTTTTGTATTTGTTTTTTATCTTCTCTAGTTAGTTAGCTGGTTGAAGGAATTGATCAATCTACTCAGAAACAAAAAAACATACCTCAGTAGCTAATATTTAATCACCCAGTCAGCTAGTTAGTTAGTTGCGATCGACTAGGTAATACAATACTGGCTTGCTTCAGATTACTTTTATTCATAAGAGAATAGCAGTATAAAATTGATAAATAAAAATAGTTATGGTAGGAAAAAGAAGAAATAAGGCGAGAAAAGACTGATCACCATTTAGTTTTCAGTTAACAGTTATTTTGTTTGATGCACAAGACGTTAGCCGAGCATCTAATACAAGTTAAATTATCCACTCTTACATACAGTGAAGTAATATCAACCCAGTGAGACTAAATGTAATGTGGGTGCGCAGTGCTGAAGAATCCCAAACTACGACGAAATAGCTGTCCAGTACTCCTAGGTGGTTTTCTAATGGTTCTCTAACTGATGCCAGCTCATGATGACCCTCCAACTTAATGAAATGCCTCTGACAAAGAGTGGACAGGTGAAAAATTTACAAATTTACATCTTGTTTTAATCACCTTTACATTTATTGTAAAATGAGACTATTTTGGGAAAGATGTATGTACATGGTCAAAGATAACGGGGAATAATGACAATGTAAATAACAAAATGATGCTTTTATTCGCCTCTGAATAGAATCATCCAGTACTTTTTATCTTAGGATAGTCATTTTGACCATTGTACTATTGCTTATCACCATTCAAATATTAAATTATGTTATTGCTAGACCATTGATTGTCATACTACTACGCTACATTTGAATTCTATGATTTCGATTTTCAAGCCAGGTTAGATAATTGTTTAACTACCATAAATTAATTTCATTGGTACTTCATCCAAATTTATGAGCATAAAATTCTCTATATACTGTGTTAAATATCAAAGGGGAATTCAATGTTTAGCTAAGTGCATGAAGGTAGTTAGTAATTAGTCAGAAAGTAAAGTGATATCCAGTAAACTTTTCTTGAAATAGTCGTTATTTCTGAAAGTCAATTGTGTTAATAAAGTAAGAAGGTTTATGCGTAATATAGTATAAATATTAAGTAAGCATACAGACCACCGGTATAAAGATTATAATAGCACAAGGTTTTTTCAACCTTTAGATATCACCTCCACCCCGTTGTCTTTGACTAATAGTTGGGATACACTATTATTTTTAATTTACTCTTGTGTAGGCGTCCAGCACAATTCACAAACTATATGTAGACATGGCTCAGATTCAGCATTTTAATGGACACCTTAATAGTATTTGGTATGTTTCTGTGTTTGCTTGAAAGACAACAGTTTTCAATCCATTGCTTACTAATGTAATATAATACTAATGTAATATTTCTGAATTTCAGAATCGGGTGAGGTTTAAAGATAAGTCGCCTGTGTTATGACTCTGTGTTTTCAGTATTAACTGTGCGGACTGAGAAGTTTATAGGTAAATTAACTCTCAGCATCCTGTCGCAATCAGACTAGACTGCCAGATGAAGGCTATTTATATAGTATCATTAACAGATATAAGGTTAATTGGTGGATGGTGACCAGCAGTGGAATCTAGGATGCGCATTTCGTCCTATTTGGGACTCGTCATCTGAATATAAGGTTATTTACCTAAAGGTATATGTAATTATGCTGCAGATTAGCGAAAGCTTGTGGAAACGCAATAATTTATGCTAAGACTTTTGTGTGGTAAGTGGTATTTCAAGTTCCTACATGAATGTGTCATAAATTTTTTTAACCTCTTATTAATCCAAATAAACACACACGTACAGAGTTATTTACACAAGCAAAACAAAATCCTCACTAACTTAATTAAAATCACCTAAATAGTTGAAAAATTTGTTCTTTAAGAATAAACAATATTTCATACCCATTAACAAGTTCCAACAAGTCAGAATATTAGGAAGGAACGACCATGGTAATTTGAGCCCTGGAGATTTTTATTATTTTATCATTTAAGTCCAGCGATAGAGAACGTGATATTTTATATTTGATCTACTGTTTGTTATTTGCTTGTTTTGTTTTATTTTCTGAACAGACAACGCAAAGGGAACTTGTTATTCAAATCAACAGAAGAAGGATTTATCCCCTTTCCCAAATAATCGTCATGATGATGTTGAGATTTACAACACACCTGAAGATGATCTATGCACAAACAAAATGGGAAGGAATATGAGTCAACCAAAAAGAAGGATCTGTAGAAATGGTAGTCTTGACAGAATGATGAACTGTCAAAAATCATGGCTGAGGCACGCTAGACGAAGAAATAGTTTACCTGAAACTAGTAAACCAGATGACTCTAATCATGATTTTTCTTCACTCACATTCAATCTGTCAAAAGATCTTGATAACTTTATTGAATTCGGAACGCCTATAAAGCGTGCTTCATCTTGTCTTAATTCAGATAAAGAATCATCAGAATGTACTCCAAATAAAAGGCAGAGATTGGGAGACAATAATGCCTGTCAACCTGTTGGTGAAAACACTCGCCGACCTAAGATAATGACAAAACGTAGAGCTGAGAAATCAATTCGTCAACGTAAAGGAAATCAGACATTACTGCCCAACTTATGGCAACCACCGGCTATCTTTCCAAATAAAACAACAGAGCAAATCTTAAATGTTGTACATGCCAAAATCGAAGAAAATAGGCGTGAAACTGAAGCAATTCAAAGAAATGTGAAATCATTCCTAGAGAAATTACAATCCCCAGTGCAAAAGATGCCAGATTTTGTCGAATCTAAACATGATGTCAGGGAAAATAATTCAATGTTTCTATTTTCAGACAAAACTCTTGAAGATGATAATATATGGAATATTGTCCATTTATGTAACAGCTCTATAGGACCTAACTGGAAAACTTGGCTTAAAATCTGCTTTCCAACATACAGCGAATCTAATCTATCCGACAATACTTTTTCGAAGATTTTGAGTTTTAGTGAAATCGATGATCGACTAACATCTTATCTTATTTTATCAAATTGGATAGAAACAAACTCGAATCCAGCTACAGATACGAAGCCAACTCTTTTAAATTTATTTCAGAGGCTGACATCTTCGGGTTACAGCGAATTTGTAGAGTTATGTAAAAAGAAACTTTTCCGCATATTTCCACATAAAAGAAGTTTTATTTATTAATTTTTTTCAATCTAATTTTAAATTAACATTTTCTGTGATATTCTGCATTTATAATAAGATGAAGCATAATTTTATTTACCTGATGGAAGTTATACTACTTTATAATAGTTTGTGGAATTTGTATTAAATATTTTACTTTTGTATATAAATTGAAAAATAAATTTTTCTTTACCAACAACTGTTACTTGTATGTTTCACTTGCAACAAGGAAAGCCTAATGAGTAACATTTTAACTTCTGCTATTTGGAATCATATTTGGGTCAAAGAGGAAGTCTTATGATGACTGAAGTAATTATTGATGTCGATTAACAGGATATGAAAAGGCAATTTGAAATTGTTAAGCTGAATACACCTTAAACTGCTGTAACATCCTTAGAAGGACTAGGATGTTCAAGTGCTATGAAATTCAGGGCATACAACTCTCGAATATAGTCTAATGTGCTGTGAATCCTTATAAATTCGTCTAAGGTTCTTAATGGAGGCTAAAGATGTACAAATGAAAATGAAACCTCCACAGGAATATAGTATACGCCATGAAGTAACAACAGTTTAGAAGTCATTTGAAATTCAAGTGCAGAGAACTCGTGATTCAGTTACTTAAAAGAATGTTCTTTTGTGAAAAATTTCGATGCCGTACAGGATGAATTGTTGAGTTTGCAAATATGTGGATTGAAATTACTGAAGTGTTTAGAAGATGCTGTGTCTTAAGAATCCACTCAAGTGGACTGATAACAGATGTGGATTAGTAATATGAGCATATAATTATTATTTGAAAAAATTGAGTATAGATGTGCTGATTAGATTATTTGACAAAATTAGTTAATTAATAACAGGTTAGCTATAAGATATGGAGGGTCCGCACTCTTTCGTGTATGGATTATAAACGCTCACTGCTGAAAAGTGGACGAAAACCACTTGGTTCCTGCTGAGTGTTCCGCAAGTTCGATAATATGGCAGTGTTAACAGATAATGGAAGTGAAAACACAGCTCAAAACACCTCTTTATACCTATGATTTAATGCTGCTTGCTCATTTCGTAGGGAAGCCTAGGCAAGGTCATGAGTTTTGTTGTTCTTTTTTGATGGTATGGGGCAGTAATGTCCAAGAGATCGATTTCGCTTATATTGGAATCATTACCCGGATACAGCTATAAGCTAGCCATTGTAACTTGAATCCAGACAGGCCATTCTTTCAGGTAACTTCTTAAGCATTGATTATTTATAATTATTACTTATTTTCTCTAGTTCACTTCATCGGAACAAGTTTATCTATCTAGTCATAATACCAATTCTTTCTAACGGCTTAAACAAAAATAAATTAAATGTATTTTATAATTAATCTATTTCACTAAGGATAGATTTCAACTTTAAGTGAATACTAACACTACTGGTAAGATTCCATGTAAACAGAAAACTTTGAATTAACTAGCAATAGATAAGCAGCTATCATACCATTGATTTTTATTTCCGTCTATGCAGTAAAATGAGTTAGATAGCTAGACGTCTATTTCTTGGTATATTTCGACCAAATTACTGACGCCAGTAAGCTACAAATGTGACATCAGTTATTGAAGTCGGCTGGAGCACAGTCAAAAGGCAGGCATTTTATCTTAGTCCGACACTGTTTGGAAGTATATGCTAAAGGTCATATGGTACCAAGCCGAAGGTTTTTCGTGGGACAAGAGCTTAAGTACACATATTAGATATATTCATTTCAAATATCACATAGTAAAGAAGTATTAAAAACTGGAAGACTTTTTGAGCATAAATTATTGCTCATAATCATATCAATTTAGTCACACAGCTTCATAATTTGCTATGTATACTTTTTCTCTCTTTCTATCTCGCCTTCTTCCCCTTATTGTTTGTTGTCACTTTCCATATCTCCGGAGGTATAGAACTTATCTAATGTGGAATCACATTCTACCACAGCGTCTAAATCCTACACTGAAGTTCACAATCAATATTTTTTATTTATTTTATTTTTTTATTTTGATTACAGCTTGATGCCACACTGCATTTTCAGTACAAGTATGGAATTTTCAGCATGGATATCAGTAGCCCAAATTTTGCTGGCCGACCATAGATATCGAGTGTGCGTCGGCAGGGGATCGATCAGTAAAATAGTATGCCTTTCATATTTACTTTCAGTTCATTGTGTATCGATACCTTCTATACACCACTGAGTTGTTAATATAAGTGGCTGCATGCCAATCACATCGAGTAGTAGTACCAACAAGATCTAAGTAATCTCTCGTTTGTAGCCTAGCTCATCAACCGTGTCATCAGTTCCACTGCGCTCAGAGAGTGTAATCAGCTCAAACTACTCATATAAGTTATTCAGCAATATATAACATCAAGTGTTTGTGTTTGCCATCTTGAGTGCCATTCATAGTATCAAGCAGATCACGTCTTGTGAAAAATTTCAGTTTCCAAAACAAACTGAGGTGAAGTTTACCTTGAACTATATAGACTGAAGACTGTAAATTAACTTGCATATTGAGACCCTCGTTTAGTGTCAGAAAGGAATATGCACACATACACGCATTACCGGATTTTTAACAATATTCTGTCTGATGATGCTTCATAAAGAGGTCTGGGTGGCAGTTTTAAATGAATTAAATATCGTCAGCAGATTCAAAGAAAATATTTTGTGAAAATAGTTATACTACTTAAAAGTAGTATATAATGGTTTTCCTAATTTTCGTGACCTTAACAAGCTATTTTCATGACACGTTAGATTTCACTACAAAGTGAAAACCGATCTGTACAGAATTGTCATTTTACCCCAGTTTGAATTACTTCGTCTTAGGAATTCAACAACAGCTTGTGTTTAAAGTTACCATTCGTCGCTCAAATACACTGTCATCTAGTCAAACAGTCAATCAATGTTTTAACATCATGTATAATTTTTATGCTATAATGATTTGAAATCCCCCCCCCCCCCCCCAATACAGGTGGCTTTTTGGGATCCGACATTGTTAAAGATTTGATTATTATGAGTGCTGGTATTGCTTGATTCCCTCCTGAGAAAATAATTCGGGAATTTATATTTTAAGAAAAAGAAGTAAACAGAGGAGAAAAATTTTTTCAACAATTCATTTTCATAAGTTATGCAATCGTAATTATATTCAACAAACAATTCATAAAACCTATCAGATACTGGTAGAATTTGTCCTCGAAAGTGTACTACGTAATGTAAGGTGTAATCTAGGCAGTGAAGTAACGTTAGCTGAGAAAGAAAATGATTATCCACAAAGCTTCATCGGCAAATGTGACAGGAATGTATGTAAGAAAGCTGATGCGGTTATGGTCAGCAAGAAACCATTTTGCATCATACTCGACTTCAAAGGCAATGATACAACGAGACTCACGGATAAAAGATTAAGCGCAGCCCTGTTCCTAAGGTATCCTGCAGCAAAATTAGTCTCTCTGCTCAAAACATCCGCCTCGTTGGCTCAGTCATAGATCTACTAATATCCCTATATATCACCTCCAACTGTGTATACCAATTCATATATATCTGTGAAAGCAGTTTCATTGGAATAACAGATTCCGACTGAAGGGGTCAAGCAGTTTAAGCTGTTCTATTACCAAACACTTGATAGGCACTGGACACCGAGTAGACGCGCTGATATCATTCAAAATAATCAACAGACATAATAGCTCAGATCTTCTTCGGTTTTTTGAGGCTATTTCAATAAGATGGTTGAAAGCTGACCTATGTGTCACAAAGGAATCTGTCGTTGGACCTCAATTACCCTGGTGACTTACGCGATAATAGCTCTTTGTTTTCTAGTTTCACTAACTTACCTTTTTAAACTCCCCTCTTTTATTTCTCCATCTCTTCCTGACCTTATGATATTGCATCATCTCTCCATTTTTCAAACTTCTATTACCTAACTACGTAACTGTTACTAAGTTTTTTTGTTAACATCCTAACAAAAAACTTGTCAATTAATTTTATAGAATCTTCTCTCTAACGTTATATATATATATATAATTTGCATTTAAGCTACCTTGTCATGATGTTTTATTTCACCCTGACACTCTTGCAATGTGTTTGTTGATAGACAAAAGTATGTTAAATTTTACACTGACTTTTATTTATTAAAGATTGTAAGTTGCATGCAGCTGATGGGGACCAACGAAATAAAATGGATTCATGTTATTCTACACTAACGCGTGTTCTTTCTCTGTTCAGGTGACAGGATTTCGATTGGGATAGAAGTGAGAGGAAAATCTGAACAGTTAAAGACATACTTTTCAGGATACTGTGGAGACAACGGGACAGCTTCAGGCTTTTTGTCAGTCAAGAAGTAGTTTCGTCACAACGTTTACGTATGACATTGGATTCATAGACAAAAACATGAAGGTAAAGCCTCCGTCGCCTAGGACAACTCTTTTCATGAATCTGGAATTCAAAGGTAGCACGGAAGCAGAAATTCTTGGAAACCGGCTCTCTAAATGTCTGAAGAAGACATTTCAAGCAGCCGCCTTACGCATCACATTCCCCAGCGGACAATTAATCCAGTCTAACGTCAAGGATAAGATAGCTATTTTGGCCAACCCAGTGTGTATTTATCTGTTCACTTGTTCGTGTGGGGTAAAGTATATTGGTCGTACGCAAAGTCAAGTTCAAAAACGTATTCTGGAACATTGTCCAGCTTGGCTAGCCAGAGGAGAAAAGAAGAATACCAGAAGCGCTATTATCCCATTTATCAAATTTATGTTCCACAATCAGTGTTTCAAGTTGATCTACGGGCACAAAGTTTTCATCCTACATTTCATGTTTTTTTATAGTCATCATTTAGCAAAAGATTACCTCCATATTTAAATACAGATTTGATTGACTAGAACTAATAAATTTTCTGGCAGACAGTGTAATTTTCCTACATTATGTGAAAAAAATATCCGGAGACATGTTGTTCAAATGCTCCTAAGAGATCACTGTTTAAAGATACTAGGAAATCGGCAGCCAGACTGCTATCGAACTTCAAACAAGTCACTTTAATTTGTAATCTTCTCATGGCCGTTTCACATTAGTTGTTTTAAGGTGGTGAACCAACAAACAAATTCTGAGACTCTCTTAGGAAACAACAGGTAGGTTAATTCATAG